TAATTCTAGCACTTGAGAAGTATAGGCAAGAGGACTAGGAATTCAAGGCCAGCCTTGGTTACTTCAGGAGTTCAAGGCTAGCTCGGGCTTTATGAGACCCTGTATAGGAAATTAAGGCTGTGAGAGCCTGTTGATGCTTAGACATGGCACTGATACAGATTTCTGTCATGAGCCAAGATGGCTAATGCTTGACATCCAAAAGGCTGTGAGTCAGCACAAAATGAATGTCCAGGGACCCCAAAAGTAAACAGTGATGTCATCTGTTATATAACCAGTTTTGGCAAGAAGCCATCTTTGTGTGATTTCCTATAAAAAGTCCTTGGAGCCAAGCACACGTGCTCTTGCCCAGTGTCTACCTGCCCAGAGGCCTGTGTACCCTTGGTGGAGAAAGCATATCTCATATACCAGTGGCTCCACGAATCTTCTTTAATCTTCTGGCTCGTCTTGACAGTCAGTTCCTGGGCCCTGTACTCAACCTCCACATTTTCCTTAAAAAAAAAAAAAATTTAATTGGGCTGTGAATAGTGGTATACGTCATTAATCCCAACATTCAAGAGGCAGAGCCAGACAGATCTCTGTGAGATGGAAGTCATCCTGGTCATAGAGAGTTCCATCCAGACTAGCTGGGGCTACAGAGGACCCTGTCTCAAAAAACCAACCAAACAAAATTAATTATGGGGCTAGGGTGTGTCTAGCTCAGGGATAAAGCACTGCCTAGCAAGCAAGAGACCCTGTTTCCCATCTCCACGGAGAGAAAGAAAGAAGTCAAATAAAATAGAGTTAATGCACTTTATAACGCAGGAATAAGGAGCAGGAATACTCTATAGTCAGAGTCACAGTTAAAAAGATAACTAGCTGGTAGGAATGTATACACTGAAGAACTACTTCCAGGGGCTGGACAAATGGCACAGTGGTTAAGAGCACTGGCTGCTCTTGCAGAAGACCCAGGTTCAGTTCCCAGCATCCATATGGAGGCTAACAACCATCCATAACTCCAGTTCCATGCTTTCTTCTGACCTCTAAGGGTACTGTACAACACGGACACAGGTGCATGTACATACATGCAGACAATACACTTCATACACATAAAAATAAAAAATAATAAAATTAAAAAAAAAGAAGTGCTTCCAAAGTAGGCTTGGGGACATAACACCTTTTTGTTTTGTTTTGCTTTGCTTTGTGAAACAGGGTCTCCCTGTAGCCCCAGCGAGCCTGGAACTTGCTGGAATTTCAGATGGTTGTTAGTCACCATGTTGGAACTGAACCTAGGTCCTCTGCAAGAGCAGCCAGTGCTCTTAACCACTGAGCCATTTCTCTAGCCCTGTTTTTACTTTTTAATACAATTTCTGTCTCTCATTTATCTATCTGCATGCATACTAAAGCTTTCTTTCTGAAAATTAAGTCATCACATTAAGTGATCACAGCATTTCATGAAAATGTGGTTGACTTACTTGATGGTTAAGCTTTATTGTCAACCTGATTGGATTTAGAATCAGCATGAAACACACCTGTAGGCATGTCTGTGAGAGATTTTCTAAATTAGGTAGAGGCAGGAAGAACCACTCTAACTGTGGTCTGCACATGCTGTGGACAGGTCCCGGACTGCACAGAAGCACAGAAAGCTGGCTGAGCACCAGCATCCATCTCTCTCTGCTTCCTGTGGATACAATGTGACCAGCTGCCTCAGGCTCCTGCCAGCATGCATTCCTTGCAATAAAGGACTGTGTTTCTTACATCTGTAACTTGATACATGTCCACAGTCAAACCCTTCCTTCTTTAAGATACTCTTTGTAGGCATTTGATTACCCCAACCAGAAAAGAAACTAATACAAACAACACTCAATATGCATGAGAGAGACAGGCATGCTGGGGCAGCCTATAATCCTAGCATAGGACAGAGGCAAGAGGGTCACTGGATGTTTGAGGCCAGGCTGGTCCACACATCAAGTTCTGGGCCAGCCAGGGATGCATATTGTGTCTGGGAAAACAAAACAAATGTAAACGAGGGGCTGGGGGTCTAGCTTAGTTGGTAAAGTACAAACATGAAGCCTTGGGTTCAATCCCCAGCATCACATAAAACTGATCATTGTAGCAAGGGCCTGTAAGCCCAGCACTCGGGTGGTGGAAGCAGATGGATCAGAAGTTCAAAGCTATGCTGGGCTACATATTGAGTTTGAGGCCAGCCTGGGGTACATGAGACCCTGCTTCAAAAAGAGTATTTAAAAAAATTTTTTTATTTATTATTTTTATGTGTATGTGTATATTGCCTGCATGTAGGTAAGTGCACCCGTGTCGTGCAATGCTCTCGGAGGACAGAAGAGGCTATCGGATCCCCTGGGACTGGAGTTACAGTTGTTAGCTGCCATGTGGGTGCTGGAATTTGAACCCAGGTCTTCTGCAAGAACAGCCAGTGTTCTTAACCACTCAGCCATCTCTCCAGCCCCCCAAAAGAATTTTTTTTTTTTAATTGAATAAGCATCAGGATGCCTGTAGGCTTACAAACAACTCTTTCTCAACAAGGCAGGAATATTGTTTCTATTTTGATGGGCTATTGACCTTCAATATTTCATATATCAGATTAAATTCTTGTGGGTGAGAATCCATTTATGAAATATTTCACAGAACAAAACTGACAAAATAGAGAGCAGATTAAATAGGTCAGGCAGGAGTGAGGTGTCTGTAGTTTGGAAGCAGCAAGAATTTAAGAGGGAAGGAAGGATGACAGGACTCGGTCATTGATTGGCTACAAGGGACCAAGAGAGACTCCAGAGATGATTCAGAAGCTGCTAGGAGAGATGAATACTCAGCAATGAAAACAAGTGGCCGGATGTGAGTGTAGATTCTCAGATACCGCTAGGATATAGATGCAGACTTTAAGGGATAATGTCCCACATTCTATTTAAATTTTATTATCTAAACTTTATTTTGGTCTTTTTTTTTTTTCTGGTCTTTTTTGAGACAGGGTCTCCCCAGTAGCCCCAGCTGGCCCAGCTGGCCTGGAACTCACTATGTAGACCAGGCTGGCCCCTGCCTCTGCCTCCCGAGTGCTGGGATTAAAGGCATGTGCCACCTCTACCAGCCAAGATTACCCATGTTTTACAGATAAGGAAATCAAAGCTCAGGCCCTGTTATCACTTACTTTTTATTTTCAGAATATTTATTATTGGAATTTTTCAGTTTCAGAATCCCCTCTTCACTTGTGGAGAGTTTGTGTGAGTGCCTAGGTATTTCTTATTTATCTTTGAAACAGTCTCACTGTAGCTCTGCGTTGGCCTGGAGCTTGCTATACACATCAGGCTAGCCACCAACTCACAAAGATTTGCCTGCCTCTGTCTCCAGAACACTGGGATTAAAGGCTTGCACTATCAGGCCCAACATGTATTTGTTGATTTAGTTTTTTTTGAGACAGGGTCTCCCTGTAGCCCCAGTTGGCCTGGAACCCACTATGTAGACCAGGCTGGCCTCCATCTCAGAGAGCCACCTGACTCACACCTGGCCTATGTTTATTTGTAATAAAGTTTGTGACCTGTTAAAAAAGGAAAGGGGACCTAGAGAGGTGGCTCATTGGTTAAGTCCTTTTCTGGCCGGGCTTGGTTGCATATGCCTTTAGTCCCCAGCACTCAGGAGGTAGGGGCAGGTGGATCTCTGTGAGTTCAAGGCCAGCCTGGCGAATTTGAGGACACTCTGGGTTACATGTGGGTGCTGAGAATCAAACCTGGGTCCTCTGTAAGAGCAGTGCTCTTAACTGCTGAGCCATCTCTCCAGCCCCATGAAAGCAGTCCACACTCTTAACTACTGAGCCATCTCTCCAGTCGTCGTCGTCGTGTCCCCCCCCCACCACTTCTTTTGGAGACAGGGTCTCACTGGTATCAACAGCTGGCCTGGAACTTACTATGTAGACCAGGATGGCAGAGATCCATCTGCCTCTGCCTCCCCAGTGGTGGAATTAAAAGAATGGGCCGTCATAGTAACTGAGGAGCTATGGACAACAGACAGCTTCCAGAGGAAGAAGAGTTATTTTTCTTTAAGCCTTAGGTAGGTTGATCAGCTCCAATGGATGGCCACATAGCCAAGAGAACATGGGCACCAAGAACTGGGATCTATGGGTTATTTGAAAAAAAAAAAAAAAAAAAGGACAGGAAACTGGAAGTGAAGGTAGATCTGAGAGGAGTTGGGGGGAGAAGTGGGGGATGAATATGATCAAAATACATTGTATGAAATTCTCAAAGTAAAAAAACAAAAACAAAACAAAACAAAGGTTGAATGTCCATGCCTGGCTGTTTTTACTTTTGAAACAGGATCTCACGTAACCCAGGGTGTCCTCAAATTCACCACACAGCTGAGAATGGTAATACCACACCTGGTTTATGCGATCTGAGAATTAAATCTAGGGCGGGCTTCATGCATGTTGGGCAAGTGCTTTACCAACTGGTCCACAAACACTCAGTCCCGGTCGTGCCATTTTAGAGATGAGAAAAATTTGGTTTAGAAAAGGCTCACTCAACTGCTCAAGTCCCAAGAAATGGGCCCTAAATTGCACCGAACAGCCGTGCACAAGAACCAGTCCTCCTCCTTCCGGCCCCTGTTTTCTTGCTGCCCCACTACATTAATTTCAAGTGACAAAACGAGGTCCGGAGGCGGGAGGTTCACGCACACTTGGGGCCACAAGGCACACAGGTGGGTACTGCACTGTCAGGTCTTCCCAGGTGGCACACACCTTTAAGGCTTTCGTGTTGCACACCACCTTCCAAGTGATGGAGAGGACGGACCGGCAGTCTCTTGAGCAGACTCAAGGAGTAAACTGAGGAAGCCGTGTCCCTAGAAAATCTAGGTAAATCCAGATCGAGACAGACGTGTGCACGGCAGGCCCCGGTGCACCACATGCCCTGGTGCGAGCGCGCAGCGGGCACCCAAGCCCTAGCGCACAAGTCGGGCGGCCCGGGGCGGGGCCCGCACACGTGACCCGGCGTGTTGTGGTCCGGCCCGCGTGGGTGGCGGGAGCGGCGCGGGGGCGGGGTCACGTGACGCGGTTTAAATCTCCCGCAGCCGAGCCGCGGGGGCGCCAGTGCCTCGAGTCGAGCGGAGCAGAGGAGGCGAGGGCGGAGGGCCAGAGAGGCAGTTGGAAGATGGCGGACGAGGCGGCGCTCGCCCTTCAGCCCGGAGGCTCCCCTTCCGCTCCGGCCGCCATGGAGGCCGCGTCGCCACCCGCCGAGGAGCCGCTCCGCAAGAAGCCGCGCAGAGACGGACTCGGACTCGGGCGCAGCCCCGGAGAACCGAGCGCGGCGGCCGCTCCGACCGAGGCGGAGAGTGCAGCGGCCCCGCCGGCGCAGTGGCGGGAGGCGGCGGCGGGCGCGGAGCGGGAGACCCCGGCGACAGCCGCGGCCCGGGCGGGAGACAATGGAACGGGCCTGCAGGGCCTGCGGCGGGAGCGCCGGGCGGCAGACGACTTCGACGACGACGACGATGACGACGGCGAGGACGACGAGGAGGCTGCGGCAGCAATCGGCTACCGAGGTGAGCCGCGCGGGTCGGGGCCACGCAGTCGCATCTGCTCCTGGGAACGGGCCGGGCAGGCCGGGGACCCGAGGGCTTCGCAGCGGCGTGGCTCGGCTCGGCTCGGCTCGGCTCGGCTCGGCTCGGCTCGGTCGGCTGCGCGCCCGGCTCGGCTCGACCCAACCTGACTCGGCCCGGCTCGGTTCGGCTCGGCTAGGCTCGATTCGGCCGCCCGCGTAGATGCGGAGCCGTGTACTCGCTCGGGACCACCCTCGCACCCTGCGCAGTTGCGGCTCCGTAGTTTCGCTCGGTTGTCTGTAAAACAAGTTTCCCCCGGCTGGTGTTCTTTACCGCAATGTCCTTTTTGAGGTGTTTGTCTCCTCCCAGCACACTTTGCAACTTTTGGCTGTCCGGCCGATCGACTTTTTTTTTTTTTTTTTTTTGGCAAATTGTTTTTGCAAACTGACAACCTCTGTGGCTTGGTTTGCGTGTGTGCACGTCTTTTTTCAGGTTAGAAAATTTAAAAGCATAGCTTTCAAAACGTAAGGAGATGGTTTCTCTAAAAATGTCACTCTTCTGAGATTGCGCTTAACTCTAGGAATAGAACAGTGATACTTTTGCAGTACTTTTGTGACATGTATATTCATTGATCATGTTCTTAAAATATTTTTAGATAGCCGGGCGTGGTGGCGCATGCCTTTAATCCCAGCACACGGGAGGCAGAGGCAGACGGATCTCTTGAGTTCAAGGCCAGCCTGGTCTACATAGTTCCAGGACAGCTGGGGCTACAGGGAGACCCTGTCTCAAAAAGACCCAAAGAAATTTTTTTTAGATTAAGTAGAATTCTTTTTTACATAACTATATAATTCTGAAGCACAAATTGGCTTATTTTTGACATATTGCAGTCAAAAAGGGTTGTATATGTAATGTCATTTTTTCCCCCCCTTGGTCTTTTTTTGAGACCGGGTCTCCCTGTAGCACCAGCTGGCCTGGAACTCTCAGAGATCCACCTGTCTCTGCCCCCGTGGTGCTGGAACTAAAGGCCTGCCCAACCACATCGGGCTGCAATGTCATTCTTTAAGGGTACTGTTTCTGTGAACAGTTTTGTCTTGAATTTGTTGAAGTCTGTCAGTATTTGTGGATCATTTATGGACCTTTGGCTGCATATAAAAAACCTAGGGGCCGTTTAGTTCTAGGCAGAGGCAGGCTGATCTCCCTGTGAGCTCAAGGCCAGCCTGGTCTACATAGTGAGTTCCGGTCAGCTGGAGCTACAGGGAGACCCTGTCTCACAAAGACTAAAATGAAGGTAACTTGGGTTAGTGACTCTTGATTTCACCAGACACAACAACAAGTAAGGATACCTGAGGTGTGTTTCATATTTTACAAAGTATAAACTTACCAGTACCTGGGAGGCTGAGGCAAGAGGATTGCCACCTGGAGGGGCAACAAAAAGAGACAGTCTGGGTCAGAAAGGACAATGCTAGGGGTTTTATTTCTATTTGATGGAGTGAAATTCATTAAGTCTCCTAATTGTGATTTGTATCTTTAGTCTGACTAGTGTATCACTTTTTTTTGAGGTACTGGGGATGGAGCCCACAGCCTTGAAAGCATGCTTCAACTGAGCGACACCCCTCACCCACTTTTTCCGTTTTTGAGATAGGGTCTCACTTTGTAGCCCAGGCTGGTTTGGAATTCACCTATATTAGAGGTCAGCCTGGCATGGAGCTTGTGTGCCTACAGGTGCTGAGATTACAGGCCTGGGCCACTCTGCCTTTCCTTCAGTTTTGGATGAAGATGGTTTCAGCACAGCAACCTTCTGATTTCTTTTGCAGACAACCTTCTGTTCAGTGATGAAATTATCACTAATGGCTTTCATTCCTGTGAAAGTGACGAGGATGATAGGACTTCCCATGCAAGCTCTAGTGACTGGACTCCAAGGCCACGGATAGGTATGCTTCAGACCTGTGCCTTTTTTTTTTTTTTTTTTTCTTTTAGAAACAGGGTCTCCCTGAAGTCCCAGCTGGTCTGGAATTCACTATATTGACCAGGCTGGTCTCCATCTCCCACAGACCTGCCTCTGGGTTTCAGCACAGAGACCTTCTGATTCAACACTCAGCCTCCCAAGTGTTGGGATTGAAGGCTTGTGCCGTCAGCCAGGGCAGGGTCTCATAGTCTTGCTGCAGCCCAGAGGTTTTTTTTTGTTTTTTTTTTTTTGCAGTTTCATATTTTGCCTCCCACTTGGTGCTCTGTAGCCTAGGATGCAGGGATGGCTTTGAAGTCCTGATCTCCTTGCCTTGCACCTCCCAAGTGCTGCGGTTTCAGTGTGTACAGCTGCCTGTTAGGACTGGGGATAGAGCCCCGGACTGTCTTTTTTTCTTTTCTACCATTATTTATTTTCTATTTAATTTTATGTGTGTAAGTACACCCTTGTGGTGCAATGCCCACAGAGGACAGAAGACAGAATAGGGCATCGGATCCCCTGGGACTGGAATTAATGGATGGTTGTTAGCCACCATGTGGGTGCTGAGATTTGAACCTGGGTCTTCTGTAAGAACAGCCAGAGTGCTTAATTGCTGAGCCATCCCCCCAGCCCCTCTTTTGTATCAGTTTGTTTTGTATGAACCAGTTTTTTGTTCATTTGTTGAGGCACGGTCTCCAGTAGCCTAGACTGGCCTTGAACTCACTGTGTACCCTGGGCTGGCATGAACTCCTGATCCTCTTGTCTCTACTTCTAAGTACTAGGATTACAGCTGTGTGCCACCACCACACCCAGCTTCTTTTGTACTGACTTTGAATTCTCTATCACCTTTACCCCCTAGATTTAGTTGCTTAGATATTGGTAACTTTTTTTTTTTTCTTGGTGCTAAGTATTGAACTTAGTGTCTCCTGCATGCTAAATATTCTTGAGTTACCCAGTTAAGCCCCCCAACCCTTGATGAACCTTAAATTAACAGCAAAGCACAACCAAAATATTTACACCTAAGTGGGCCCCGCAGCTCTTGATGAGCTTTCCTTGGTCTTTTTGAGACATATAACAAAATACCTTTGGGTTCTATTGTCTTGCTTTGCATAAAAATTTTAGAAATTGTTAACTCATTATTTCACAAACTAAATGAGTTTTTGAAAGTGGAAGCAGATTTGTTCTAAGTTTCTTTCCCATTTATAGGTCCATATACGTTTGTTCAGCAGCATCTCATGATTGGCACAGATCCTCGGACAATTCTGAAGGACTTACTCCCAGAAACAATTCCTCCACCTGAACTGGATGATATGACACTGTGGCAGATTGTTGTGAATATCCTTTCAGAACCTCCGAAACGGAAAAAAAGGAAAGATATCAACACGATGGAAGATGCTGTGAAGTTACTGCAAGAGTGCAAAAAAATAATAGTTCTGACTGGAGCCGGGGTACGTAAGATGCGTAAGACCTGAGCACAAATGGAGGTCATATGTTTTCCTTATTTTTTCAATTAAATGTTTTTTCTGGTTTAAAAAATTTAGAAACTGCCCCAAACTGAGGCAGCAGCACTTGCTTAACAGCCTTAAATAATTTGCTTTTATCTCTCCGTTGCACAATAGGTAAGTGCAATTAATGTTACTTATTTTTGTAGGCCAGGCTGGCAACCAATTCACAGAGCCTCTGCTTTTGGGGTGCTGGGATGAAAGGTGTGCAACGTCATGTCCTGCCAGTTGAGCACGGTGTTTGGTTTGGTTTGGGGTTTTTTGTTTTGCTTTGTTTTGTTTTTTCTCTCGGTCTTTCTTGAGACAGGGTCTCCCTATAGCTGTCCTGGAACACTATGTAGAGGCCTTGAACACCCAGATCTGCCTGCCTCTGCCTCTGCCTCTCAAGTGCTGGGATTAAAGACTTGCACCACTGTATCCAGCTATTTTTTTAAAAATATTTTAATTTTATGTGCATTGCCTACATGTGTGTAAGTACACCTGTGTCATGCAGTGTCCATGGAGGTCAAAAGAGGGTGTTAGATCCTGTGCAACTGGAGTTACAGAGTTGTCAGCTGCCATGTGGGTGCTGGGAATCAAACCTGGGTCCTCTGAAAGTGCTCTTAACTGCTGAGCCATTTATCTCTCCAGCCCCCCCCCCCTTTTTTTAAGATTTATTTAAAAAAGATTTAAAAATTTTTTTATTTTATGTGTATACGTATATTGCATATAGCTAAGTGCACCCATGTCCTGCAGTGTTCAAGGAGGTCAGAAGAGGCCATCATATCCCTTGGGACTGGAGTTACAGACAGTTGTTAGCTGCCATGTGGGTGCTGGGATTTGAACCCCTGTCTTCTGCAAGAATAACCCGTGTTCTTAACTGCTGAGCCATCTCTCCAGCCCCTTAAGATTTAAATTGTGTTTCTGCATCTGTGTGTGGGTATGGGCACTTGCCTGTAGGTGCTTGTGGAGGCCAGAGGAGGGTGCCAGATCCCTGGAAGCTAGACTTAAAAGCTGAGGACTGGGCATGCCTTTAGTCCCAGTACTTGGGAGGCAGAGGCAGGTGGATCTCTGAGTTCAAGGCCAACCCGGTTTCAATAGCAAGTCCAGGCCAGCTGGGGCTACAAGGAGAGCCTGTCTCAAAAAGACCAGAAAAAAAAAAAGCTCTTGTGAACTGCCCAGCATGGGTGACAGGAACCCAACTTTCTGGAAAATCAGCAAGTGCTCTTAACCACTGAACTATCCTTCAGCTCGCAAGTTAAGTTTTTTATTTTTGAGACAGGGTCTCACTATGTAGTCCAGGCTGGCCTGGAGCTCAGAGACGCCTCTGTCTCTGAGTGCTGAGATTAAAGGTGTGTGCCACCATGCCTGGCTCAAGCTAAAGTTTTTAACCCACATTGTATCAGCTCCTGAGACACAGGGAATTAGGATTCTTTGGTGTATGTATGTTATGCAAGGCTCTGGTTAATGGCTTTGGTTAATTTTCATGGAGAAAACAAAAACTGATTTCATAGTCAAAAATACTGTGGTTTGGAAAGGTAATGAATTCCTACCTTTCCTCCAACTTAAATTAAAAGGATTATAGTGACATGGCCATTTTCATTTGGCTTAGTCTAAGACGGCTACATATTCTGTGTTGAGGATGGTGTATGTTAAATGTTAGCAGCCAGAACAATGAAAAATTCAGTCCTGCCATTTAGACTTGTGAAAAAGTATTACTTAACATGAAGAATGGTTGTTTTGGGACTGGAGAGATGGCTCAGTGGTTAAGAGCTCTGTTTGCTCTTGCAGAAGACTCAGATTTGGTTCTTAGCACCCACATGGTAGCTAACAACCATCCATAATTCCAGTTGCAGGGGATCCAACAACATCTTACAACATCTTCTGATGTCCTTGCGCACTGTGTCACACAGGTGCACTTAACATACATGCAGGCAATACACATACACAAAAAATAAAAATAATAAAGGATAGCCGGGTGTGGTGGCATATGCCTTTGGTCCCAGCACTCTGGAGGCAGAGGCAGGCGGATCTCTGTGAGTTCAAGGCCAGCCTGGTCTTCATAGTGAATTCCAGGCCAGCTGGGGCTAATAGGAGACCCTGTCTCAAAAAAAGACCCCCCAAAAAGAGAATAGTTTTGTACTGAACATGATGACACCTCTAGTCCCAGCTCTGGGAGGCAGAGGCAGTTGGAGGCTGACCTGAGTGTGAAAGCGGCCTGGTCTGTGTAACCAGTTCCAGGACAGCCAGGGTTACACAGCGAGACTATTTCAAACAAAGTAAGTAGTGTTCTGTTTTGGTGCTGGAGTTCAGCCTAGTGCCTTGAGCATGCCAAGCTTTGTCACAGTGTGTGCTACCCCCTCAGCCCGAAAATATACTACGGGCTACATGTTTTCTGTGTGGATGTGCATGTGCCATGGCACATGTGGAAGTCAAAGGAAAGCTTCTGGGAGTTGATTCTGTTCCTTCCACGTGGTCTTCACCAGCTGAGCCATCTTGCAGGCTTCCAATTTTGTTTAGTCTTTTGTCTTTTTTTGAGACAGGGTCTCCCTTGTAGCCCCAGCTGGCCTGAAACTTTATCTCACAGAGATCTGCCTGCCTCTGCCCCTCTAGTGCTGGGATTAAAGGCGTGTGCCACCACACCCGGCGCTTATGCTTATTTTTAAAAAGTTAAAAAGTTGGGGCTGGAGATATGACTCAGTGGTTAAGATCATTGACTTTTATAGAAAACCCAGGGTTTGAATGCCAGCACCCACGTGGTGGCTAACAACTGTCCGTAGCTCCAGCTTCATGGGATCTCACACCCTCTTTTGGTCTCTGGACCCTGCATGGTATGGGTGCACTTAAATACATGCAGACATAACACTCATACACATAAAATAAAATGTTTTTGGTTTTTTTTTTTTTTTTGAGATAAGGCCTCCCTGTAGCCCAAGCTGGCCTGGAACTCACTATGTAAACCAGGCTGCCTTTGAACTAACAGATCTGCCTGCCGTTGCCTCCCGAGTGCAGAGATTAAAGGTATGTGCCACCACACCCAGCTAAAATCAAGTTTTTTAAAAAAGTGAAAAGTTGAAATTATGCTGTGTAATTTCCTTTTAATTTTTTATTTAAGATTGTATTTTTACTTAATGTGTATGAGTATTTGCTGTATGTATGTAAGTGCACCATATCCATGCCTGAAGCCTGCAGAGGCTAGAAGAGGGAGTCAGATTCTGTGGACCTAGACTTAAGGAGTGTGAACCACCAAGTGGATGCTCTGGACCCAACCTTGCTACTCTTGAAGAGCAGTAAGTGCTCTTAACCATGGCGCCATCTCTCCAGCCCTTATTTTTTAATTGTATTGTGTCTGACATATGTATGTACATCAGATGTGGAGGTCAGAGGACACCTGTGGAGTTCTTTTCAGGTGGGCCCCAGGGGTCAACTTCAGTCATCAGGCTTGTCAGCAAGTGCCTTTACCAGCAGAGCCATGTCTCTGGCCCTTTATTACTATTTGCCTTGCTGGGGATTGAACCTAGAGCAGGACTTGCTAGGCCAACACTCCACTACTGACCCACATCTTCAGCGCTCTTCTGTTTCTTTCGAGAGGTACGGCGTCACTATGTTGCTGGCCTCCTGGGCTCAGGTGATGCTCCTGCCTCTGAGTCTTCTGGGCTCAAGGGATCCTTCTGCCTCCGCTTCCTTAGTAGCTGTGAGCATAGGCTTGTGACATTGTTCTTGGTTTTATTTCACATCTCCTCACACACTATTGTGGTTGCTATCGATGTCCAGGTCAGCCTTGGAAATCTGGGCGCAAGCAGTCATTCTGTCTGAACTTCCTAAGTAGCATGAACCACTCTGTCCCAACGTCACAGCATAGTAGTTAAAGGAAATGCAGAAATCCCGTGTCTTGTGTAGACTGCTGCACCATGAGCACTTTCGTTGGAAAAGATGATCTGTGATAGAAGGTGTTGCCTGCTTTCCGACTAAGGTTGAATTGATTTACTTACTAATAAATTAGAATTGCTTTAATTTTGTTGTTTAAGTGCTTAAAGGTTTAAAATTAGCCCAACTTAAAATTTCCTTATTGCTGTTAAAAAGAGTGGCAGATTTATCTATACTCATTTATTTAGGCATTTTACTTCTATTTGAAATTAGAGTAAGGTAGTATTTCTGTTCCCCAAAATAAAACTTTTTTTTTTTGAGACAGGGTCTCCCTGTAGCCCCAGCTGGCCTGGATTTGCTGTGGAGACCAGGCTGGCCTCAAACTCAGAGATCCACCTGCCTCTGCCTCTCAAGTGCTGGGATTAAAGGCATGCGCCACCACGCCCGGCAAAATAAAAATTTTTCAGTTCCCCTCCCTGCAAAAAATTGTTAGGTAAGAGAGCTAGCTACTAATTAGGAAGGTAGAAGATGTGAATGTACAAATCTTGTCTTGCGTGTTTCAGGTTTCTGTCTCGTGTGGAATACCTGACTTTAGGTCAAGGGATGGTATTTATGCTCGCCTTGCAGTGGACTTCCCAGATCTCCCAGACCCTCAAGCAATGTTTGATATTGAATATTTCAGAAAAGATCCAAGACCATTCTTCAAGTTTGCAAAGGTATTGCTAACTTTTCGTTTGACACCTTTCGTGATAAAGTATTTTGCTTGTGTGTAGGCATCTTAATTTTACTACTCCGTGCCTGGCAAATTGTAAGATCACTCTTCGTAGACAGAACTTTCATTTTTAGATGGAGTTTCAATAATGTACTTCACTTATGGTCATTTGTGCCTGTGCTTGTATTTGTAGGTCTGTTGTCCCCCTCCCCTCTTTTTGGAGGCTAGGTTTGTATGTACACCATACAAAAATGACCTATTTTGACTTTAATATTTTTTCTGAGTCGTAAAGGTTATAGCACCTACTGTGTTGTGTTTTGTAGTAGACACGTTTTAACATGAGCATCTATCTGAAAACCTTTTTCTTTTGGTCTTCTTGAGATAGGGTCTCCTTGTAGCCTTAGCTGCCTGGAATGCACTGTGTAGACCAGGCTGGCCTTGCTCTCACAAAGGTCCACCTGCTTCTGCCTCCCAGTGCAGGGATTAAAGTGAAAAATCATTTTTAATTAAGGAAGAAGGTCCTGAGATAGCATTTTTAGTCAGCAGGTTGCAGAGGGCTGGCCCTTCAAGAGTCTGTCTAGTCTTAACTTTCTGGTTCAGAAGTCGATAGCTACGTGGGCTACTGAGTACTTGACATGTGTTGACATAAGCACAGAAGATATACTTAACTGGATTTTGCCAAGGAAAACAAAATGAAATACAACATTAATTGCATTATTAAGTACTAACAATTGGGAATTCCATGTAGAACTAATTCACGAGCCAGCATTGTGCATCCCTGCCGTCCCAGCACTGGAAGCAAAGACAGGAGGGTTTACTTGGCTTGCAGTTCCAGAGGGTTAAGATTGAGTCCATCATGGTAGGCCAGGCATGGCGGCATGGGAAGCAGAGCCAGCCAGACTAGAAGCAGGCGTGGCTAGATTCTCAACGTCCACTTCAGCAAGACTGCACCTCCTAAAGGTTCCATGACCCTCCCCAAACACAGGGGACCAAGTGCCCACAAATACTTGGAGCTTATGGGAGACACTACTATTCCAACCACCACAGCATCTTTTACATATACGCTGAGCCATTTCACATCATACAGGCCCTAAACTGAATTAAATTTTTCTTGACTTATTTTAATTTTTATGTGTGAGCGTTTTGCCTGCATGTATGTATGTAAGTGCACCCATGTCTTGCAAGCCTGAAGAGGCCAGAAGAGGGTGTCAGATCCCTAGGAACTGGAGTTACAGCTGTTAGCTGTCATGTGGGTGCTGGAAATAGAACCTGGTCCTCTGTCTGCAACAGTAGCCAGTGCTCTTAACAGCTGAGCCATATCTCCAGCTCCCAAACTGAATTTCAAAGGCTGTCTTCATCTACTTTCAAACCACATGTTATATTTATATAACTATGGAAAGCTCGACTCACTCTCACCTCAGCTTCCTAAGTGCTGGAATTAGCAGGCAGTGTGCACCTCTGTTCCCCACTGGGATGTGTGGTTTGAACCTGTGGTGCGAGTGGCACTGCCACACTGTTTGAAAGAAATGTCCCTCAGTCCTGGATTTCTGGAGCTGGGACCTAGGACACTGGTATAATAGTAAGTAGACACTGGCTTTAGAAGACTGGCCAGCAGGTGGCTAACAGTTACCTTCATATCTGACTACAAGAGCATAGCTGGTTAGTGCATTTATGTCAGTATTTTTGCTGAGAGACAACGGTTGCCAAAGTGAGTTGTCGTCTTTTCACCTCCTACGGGGGTTACACATTGTCAAGTGCAGCTGTGTATCTAAAATTCTTTTTTTTTTTTCTTTTTGAGACAGGGTCTCCCTGTAGCCCCAGCTGTCCTGGAACTCACTATGTAGACCAGGCTGGCCTTGAACTCACAGAGATCTGCCTGCCTCTGCCTCCCAAGTGCTGGGATTAAAGGTGTGTACCACCAGGTCTGGCTTAAAGGATTGTTGAGCAGTAACTCTACTGCTCTCTGGTTTTTTATTTTTTTTTTGTCTTTTTGAAGCAGGGTCTCCCTGTAGCCCCAGCTGTCCTGGAACTCACTATGTAGATCAGGCTGGCCTTGAACTCACAGAGATCTGCCTGCCTCTGCCTTCCAAGTACTGGGATTAAAGGCATGCGCCACCACGCCTGGCTAAAATTTAATTTTAAAAAAATTAAAATTCAGATTTACTGAGTGTGTGGGACGGGCAAGCATGTGTGTCGGTCAGAGGACAGGTCCTTTACTCTGTCTAGGGGAGCAAACTCAGCTTGTCAGGTTTGGCAGCAGTTCACCAAAGCGCTGAGCCATCCAGGGGCCTTGCTTTGTTTTTTTCTTCAGGTGATCAGCAGAAGGAGCTAGAAGATGATGGGGCATCAGCAAAGCAAGGAAAGTGTATTCTAGTGAGTCCCCTCCACCTGGGGCTGTGGCATGTAGAAGCTTAGGGAAGGTCTCAATAGGATTTTAAAATATTTTATACATTTTTTTATTTTCAGTTACATGTATGTGTTGTGTTTGTGTGGGTATGTGCACATGAGCACAGGTCCCTGCAGAGGTAGATTCCAGAGGTATCTAGTCCTTCTGAAGCTGGAAATGGAGACACTTGTGAGCTCCCTGACAGGTCCTCTGCAAGAGCAGGGCTGCCTTGACAGCTGAGCCATCTCAGCAGCTTTCTGGTTTTTGAGATGGTTGTGAAGGGGGGTCTTCTCCTCTCTTCTGGCATGTTAATTGGCATACAGAAGGTCTACTTACAGAGATAGCTCAGCTGTTAAGAGAGCTGGTTGCCTTTGCAGAGGACCCCGGATTCAGTTCCCAGCACCCACATGGCAACTAACAACTGTCTGTAACTCTAATTCTAGGGGATCTGATGCCCTCTTCGGGTGTCCACAGGCATTGCATGCATGTGGTACACTTACATGTAAGCAGACATTATACACATTAAAGTTGAAAATGTAGTTGAACATGGACTTTCGTATTAAAACTAGGTTTGAATAATTAAGTTAGTTATGCTAGTTAAGCTAATTACGGACTTGTGACAAAAATGACAAATTTTTGTGCTTTTTATTTTTTTTTTAAATCTACAAAATGCTTTTCTCTAAAGGGCCAGGTAGTAACTGTGTGGCCTACATTTGAGACTGTGTAGAGAACAAATATATTTTTTGTTCTTTTTTAAGTCCCTTTAAAAAATGTAGAAACTAGCTGGGTGTGGTGGTGCGCAAGTAGTCCCAGCACTTGGGAGGCAGAGGCAGGCAGATCTCTGTGAATTCAAGGCCAGCCTGGACTACATAGTTCCAGGACAGCTGGGGCTACAGGGAGACCCTGTCTCCAAAAAAAAGAAACTAAGGGCCAGTTGTGGCGGTGTATACCTTTAATCCTACATGGCCGGCCTGGTCTACTTAGGGGGTTACAGGTTAGCCAGGTTTACATAGTGAGACTGTTTTCAAAAAACAAACAAGAGTTCCAGGCTTCACTTAGCCTGTCTGCGGCCTTACAATGAATAGGAAACATGTGTTTAGTTTTGCCTGGTACACACAAGCCCTTTGAGTACACAGTACTCATTAATTTCAGTAAGTGAAGTTCTCTTGGGTAGGTTAGACAGGTTGACATACAATCAAGATGTCTACTCATTTCTCATGTGAAAATCAAAATGTATAATCACAAGTGTGGCTGACTGCCTATTTCTGCACTGCCTGTGGTAAGAAGTTTATTTTTATGGGCAGATAAAAGTGCATGTTCACGGCATACAGCATTGTTTTTTATGTACATCATGGAATGGTTAAATGAAGTTAACAAACAGCCATAATGTCACATACTTATCTCCACTCTATAATTTCACGTACACAGTATGTTGTTAATTGTGATCTCCACACTGTGTTAAACCTAACCAAATTCTCTCTGAGATTTTGTTTCCTCTCACCAGCATCCCCCCAATCTGCCCACCTAGAATTTTTTTCAGCTTTTTTTTTTTGTCTTTTTGAAACAGGGTCCCCTTGTAGTCCCAGCTGGCCTGGAACTCACTATGTAGACCACGCTGGCTTTGAACTCACAGAGATGATCCACTTGCCTCTGCCTCCTGAGTGAGGGAATTAAATTAAAGGTGTGTGCCAGCACCCCCAGCCTCAGGTTTCTTTAAATTGAATTTTTTGTAAATTTCATACAATATCCTTTGGTGGTATTTAGAGCCCTTCCCCTAGGACACCCCAGTGCTACACATGCCCACATTCATACACTCTCTTCTATATTAAGGCCTTTAGAGGCAAATTTGTCCCCAGATGTCCTTTGGTGTGAATCTTCCCACTGTACCTGGCCAACCTACCAGCAGTCACACCCTTAAAAGTAACTGACTTACCGTCCCAGCATCTGTTGGTTTCTAATAGCTCCTCAGGTAGGGTCAGGGTTTCTTACCTGTTTCCCCATGTCTGTGCTGGGATTTGTCTGACTTGAGCTTACAAGGAACTTGTGCACGCTGCCACCATTGCTGTGAGTGCGTATCAGTTAATTTTCCAGCTGTCTGGAAAACTTGCCTTGTTCATCCACTGCCTGTGGGCTTTTAGAGACTTGTCACCACTCTTCTGAAATGAGCCCTGAACCTTTGGTCTTTTCGAGATAGGGTCTCCCTGGAGTCCTAGCTAACCTGGAACTCAGATCTGCCTGCCTCTGCCTCTCAAGTGCTGCGATTAAAGGCATATGCCACCACGCCCCAAAGGAATTTTTTTTTTTTTTTTTTCTTTTTGAGACAGGGTCTCCCTGTAGCCCCAGCTGTCCTGCAACTCACTGTGTAGACCAGGCTGGCTTTGAACTCAGAGATCCGCCTGCCTCTGCCTCCTGGGTGCTGGGATTAAAGGCATGCGCCGCCATGCCGGGCTGAAGGAACTAATTTTTAATGGCCAAGAGATGTCAGTAAAATATTTCACGGATGTGAAAATTACATGAATGGCTACTGATAACTGTGCATAAAAGTTTCAGTGAAACATCTCCTGATGCATTATGACTACTCTTGCCACAGAAGACCATATGGACAGACTGTATAGCCTGTAAAGCCAAAAATATTCACTGTTTGCTGGCCTTGTGTAGGAAGTATGTGCTACTTGTAGATTCCTAAGGAAGTTGAATTTCCTGAAGGAGCTGACTGCTGAGAGTGGATGCTCTGGAGTTCTGTTCAGGGAAGTGACCTGAAGGAGGGCTGTTCCTGGGCTTTTTGTTTCACTTTTTCCCCTTTTTATGTGTGCTGCGTGGTGCGTTTGCATGTTTGTAACCTAGGTGTGGGCATGCGCGTAGGTGATGTGTACATGTTGCATGCGTCAGCAAGAGGCTGACATTGGCTAACGTGCCCTAGAGTCTGCAGTTGGGCATCAAAGCAGGGTCTCTTGCTAGACTGTTTCCACTGGACCCCCTACCCCCCATATCTACCTCCTGCTGCTGGAGTTACAGCTCCTGTTCCCTGCTTGACTGCAGTGCTTTGACCACTGAACCCTCACCAGCCCATCACTTCTTTTCCTGGTGCTGGGCCTCAAATTCAGTGCTTCCCACATGCTAGGCAAGTGCTGCACGGTGGTGCTAGGCCACCAGCCCTAGGTCTCACTGTTTGATTTTAGGCCACCAGCCCTAGGTCTCACTGTTTGATTTTAGGCCACCAGCCCTAGGTCTCACTGTTTGATTTTAGGCCACCAGCCCTAGGTCTCACTGTTTGATTTTAGGCCACCAGCCCTAGGTCTCACTGTTTGATTTTAGGCCACAAGCCTTAGGTCTTACTGTTTGATTTTAGGCCACCAGCCCTAGGTCTCACTGTTTGATTTTCAGCAAAGTTTTTAGACAGTCTGTTGTAGGAGAGGTTTTTATTAAAAGTTCTTTTAGAATAATTATAATTTTTGACTATTCCTTTGACTACATTTAAATTTAATAATTCAGAGTGCATTTCATTCAGAAGAAAAATGGATTCAAACCATCTAGGTATTCTCAAAAGTAAAATGTAAGGTTATAAGTAAAACTTTTCATAAATTGTCCCCAACAACAGGAATTGATTCATAACATTAAGGACTAAACTACCTTGAACTGTGACAGGTTGGCAAACTGGAGTGAAGTGCTAAGTCGGCCTGCACTATCTGGTTTCTACTCTCCTTCAAATGAGGAAGCTGGGTCATATACAGTTAGTCAGGGTTCACAGAGGCTTGATACTCTTGCTTCCTGACCATACTCTGGATTTAGGCATTCCTTTTTTTCTGTACTTAGCATCCTTTTTTTATGACTTGGTCTACCACTTGATCTGTTTGTTGTTAATACTAAGCAAAGTATTCTAAAAGTTATTTCCAGAAGAGACTTTAATGAGATACTGTAATGCTCATAAAAATGACATGAAGATCTGGTGTTCTAAGGAGGCAGATGCAGGCAGATCTCTAGGCCAGCCAGGGCTACATAGTGAGATCCTGTCTCAGAAAAAGAAAAAAAAAAAATGACCTGAATGTGAACACATCAGAATGCGGCATCCTGAGTAGGAGACTGGTTGGTATGGCATAATGTATTCCAAAACATAATGTAGCTTTCAGCTTTCTGTAAACATGATAAATTATTCACTTGCTGTTAACTTGTGTCTATTGTCTGTTAAGGTGCGAAGAGTTACTAGTAAGGGTTTGAAAATTTTATACATTTATACAGTGTATTTTGATCATAACCATTCACCATTACCTCCCTCCAGCTCCCCCAGGACCTTATCTTACCTCAACTCACTCCCAGCTTCCTATCATGCATTACTAATAACCCCGAGTCCAATGCTGCCCATATGCACATGGGTGTGAGGCCGTCCACTGGGGAATGGGATGGTCATCTTAGCAGCAGCCCTGTCCTGAAAGGAGAGTCTCATTGTGTTGATTAGGTTAATGTTGAACTTGGGGCTATCCTTCTGCCTTCTTTGAGTGCTGGGGTTACAGGCTTGTGCCACCCATGCCCAGCCTAATGAGTTTTTCTTTTTTCTTTTGTCTTTTTGAGACAGGGTCTCCCTGTAGCTCCAGCTTTCCTAGAACTCACTATGTAGACCAGGCTGGCCTTGAACTCACAGAGATCCGCCTGCCTCTGCCTCCCAAGTGCTGGGATCAAAGGTGTCTGCCACCATGCCTGGCTATGAGTTTGTTCTCTATGAACACTGAATATAAAGTGAAATTGTTGAGCTTTTGTGTAATGGACCATCCCATACAAGGTAGTGTTTGTTTTGTCTTTGAGACTGGGTCTCTCTGTAGCCCTAGCTGGCCTAGAACTCACAAAGATCCACCTGCCTCTGCCTCTTAAGTGCTAGGATTAAAGGTGTGTGTCACCATATCTGACTCAAGATTTTCATGGAGTTTAAGTTTTACCTGGAAGGTATTTCTTGAGTGGCTGAAGTCTGTTTAAATTTTAGAGATACTAAATAGGTTAAGTGCGGCTTCTTTAACTGCTAAGACTTTTTGTAAATCTCAAAAGGGAAGATTGGCTGTTCACAGTTCATGTGTATTCTTCCCCACAGCTTGCATAGAAAGGACTATCCATTTGTACACATAATTTCCTTTTCTTGTTTAATAACACAACCAAAACAGCAAGCGTGTCATGGACTGTTTTCTAAATATCCCTCGTTTCAATGGCTGAGTCACTGTTATGGATGTACTGTGTTTATAACATAGCCAGTTTCCGTGCTAGCAGATACAGGGCTGGTTAGTTTTTTACTAGCAGTATGATGGGTCAGAGCCCGTGATTTAGTTTTTTACTAGCAGTATGATGGGTCAGAGCCCGTGATCAGTGGTAAGGGAGGAAGTGAATGAAAACGCTGTCAAAAGTTGGGAGGACCAAAATTGATACTTTTTCTCTGATCTTTTTGCCATGTGTATATCTGAATTCTTTGTTTTTAAAGAAGAAACAGCATTGAAGCATTATTTGGGGGGAAAAACACACACACAAAATCCAGCAACTGAGCATTCATGAGCAGCTCTAGACTATACAGTATGTGCCTGTCCAGTGGAAGGAAAACAATTTTGGTAAGGAATTCAAACTTCAGCTTTAAACTTCCAGCAGGTTGATATTTATAATGAATGATGAATCAAAAATAAAATTTAAAATAATACATTGACAGCCTTTTTTTAAAAAAAGTTGTGAAGTCACCATGCTGTTAACCTGTAATTTCAGTATAAAGTGTCCCCTTTTTTCCTTAAAGAAAAAAATCTGAACTTGCTGCCAACAAAATTTAGATGTACCAAGGTATGTATTTCTTCTGATTTACACTAAAATATCAAAATTACGCTGTGTTCATGGGTCACCTTATCCTATTAAAGGGGCCAAGTTCACTGATTGCTGAGTGTCCAGATAGTAACAACGAGCCTTTTCTACACATGCCGTCCATCTAGAAGCTTTAGAATCTTGTGTATTGTTTTAAAAAGCGTATATCCAGGGTGCCTTTGTGATAAACTTACTCAGGATATCTGTTGGGCTTATTTATTAATGTAAGCTTTTTCTACCTTTTGCATTATATAGGAAATATATCCTGGACAGTTCCAACCATCTTTGTGTCATAAATTCATAGCCTTGTCAGATAAGGAAGGAAAACTTCTTCGAAATTATACTCAAAACATAGATACCTTGGAACAGGTTGCAGGAATTCAAAGGATAATTCAATGTCACGGTTAGTAAACTTCAAAATGGCGTTCTGTAATTTATCTAGTTTAATAGGAAATGGCAGGCTTGGAAAATAGGCTGCTGTCTAGTAATGAGAGATTAAGCATTATTATTTGATAATCTAATTGTAGATAAGAATGCAAAAAGCAATGAAACTCAAAATAAAGCCTTGAGTCAGGTATGGTGGTGCATGCCTATTATTTCAGCATTTGGGAGGTGGAGGCAGGAGGATTGAGTTTGTCATCTTTGGCTACATAGCAAGTTTATATGTTTTTTTTGTTGTTGTTATTGTTTTGTCTTTTTTTGAGACAGGGTCTCCCTGTAACCCCTGCTGGCCTGGAACTCACTGTGTAGACCAGGCTGGCCTGCCTCTGCCTCCCAAGTACTGGGATTAAAGTTGTGCACCAGTGTGCTCTCTCTCTCTCTCTCTCTCTCTCTCTCTCTCTCTCTCTCTCTCTATATATATAT